GCGGAAAAATAGCTGACCTTAACGCCACTCCCCAAAGGCATCTTCCGAAGGGTCCCTAATGCCCAGTCCTATTGCTTTTCTCCAGAACCTGGGATACTACTGCCTAGGTTTGGAGTTTCGCACCCGCTTTGTGAATAGATCTGTTAGCCAAGTCTTTTCAGCAGTTGGGTGGTGGGGAACAATAGTGACCCGATATTGAAAAGGGAGAGCTGCAGCTAACCCACACCTTACAGACCAACCAAGTCCAGCCTTTGACATGCCCGAAGAATTAGATGAAACCACCACGCACTTGAAGGTTTCTGCCCTTCACTTTCAGTAACACGCTGGAGATGGGAAAATAGTGGGTATCAAGCACGGTCCCCATTACATTTAAGGATTGCCGTTGTTTCTAGATCCTAATAACACCGAGAGCACCGGGAGGAAGTCATTTTACCACATTAAGAGGCAAACCTCAGATTTCATTAGGACAACTGAGTTCTTCCCTTCTACTGGGGAGACTTAAGCTTCTTATCTAAGGAATGGAGATAGGCACCAAACCATACCACAACGGGCTTCCAAAGAGGAAAACTATGTGGCAAATCCCACTAGGGATCCACGGAGTAAACATAGTGTTTAGTTGGCTGGGAAATCCTGCCTGATAATGACCAAATATAATGAACAGAACAGATCAGCAAATAAATGGGGGGGGGGGGGGGAGAAGGAAACAATTCCCTAGAGGAGGCTGGTTCCATCCCATTGGAGTCAAACTAGAGGTTCCCTCACCCTGTGTGGTGAACAGAGTCCCAGCCTGTCACTTACAGATTGCTAGGTTTCTGTGCAGTCAGATAATATTGTACTAAATCTCTGCTAAGTAGAAGCAAGGATAATCAAAGGAGCACAACAAAACTCCTCACCTAAAAAGCTAGAATGTTAGATAGCAGAAGACTATGTGATGTAGTGTATGTTGAACCTGGAGTCAGGGGAGAAATATGGAGGGTTGAATCCCATCATTGACATTTATTAGGTGACCATGGGAAAATTACTTAACTTCTCTGAACCTCAGTATCCTCATGTGTAAGGCAGGGTTGGGTGTTAATAATACCTGTAATTGCCTACCCTTAGTAAACCATAAATCATTCTTTCCTATCTCTTGCTTTTCCATGACTGTGAAAGGTCTCAGAGCCGTTCTGAATAGAATAACATTAAGAGAGAAAAATGGGTATAGAAGAAAGTTTGTAGTACTTGAATTGCCTTAAAGTAAAGTAGCCCATTGGGGCTGAAGAAAACAGGCAACAATTTCATCTTAAAAAGTTCTCTAACATAGAAGAAGTGTCTCTTTTACCCTTTTTTGCCCTAAGTTTGATGTAGCTTTTCCCCCCTTTCCACCTTTGTTATTGAGTACTTAATTAAGACCTTTCTTTTTTGCTCCACCATTCATTGGTGGATCCATTTTCAAAAAGATAGAATCACAGACTGAGAGAATTTCAGAGTTGAAAGGGTCCTCAATGGTCATCTCGCCTAACCTACACATGAAAGGAACACTCACCATAATTGTGGTCATCCACTCTGCTTGAAGACTTCCAAGACTCACCATCTAAGGAAGCAATCCATTCTACTTTTGGATAACTCTAATTGTTTGGAAGATTTTCCAGATATCCAGCTTAAATTTGCCTATTTGAAACTAGCCTAATCCCTCCTCATCACAACAGCCCTTCAAATACTTGAAGGCTCATCAAATTCCCCTTGAGTCTTCTCCAAGCTAAATATGTCCAGTTCCTTCAACTGATACTCATGTCATGGACTCAAGACCATTCACTGGTTCCACTCCTGTGGACACCCTGAAGCTTATTAATGTCCTTTTTAAACTTTGATACCCAGAACTGAAAATAATACTCTGATTGAGGTCTGATGGTGGTGGATTCTAGTGAGATCATCACCTCCTTATTCCTGGAGACTGTGCCTCCCTTAACATATCCCAAGATTAGCTTTTTTTTTTTTAAGCTGCCACTTCACTGTACTGACTGCTGTTGATCTTGAAATTCACTAAAAGCTCTATTTCTTTTTCAGAATAACTGCTGTCCAATCATACCACACTGATTATTCACAGAAAAGTAGCATACACTCTTAGGATGCCTTTGCCTTATACTCACTCCCAACTAAACCTTTGTGTTGACTATTTTGTAACTCAGCTAGCCTAGATTTTAGTTTTTCTTCACACCACCAGGTCCTGATCTTACACACAAGAAACATTTTGAAACTTAAATAGCACGTGTCCAGAATCAGATAATTTTGGCCTAAGTATAGGACTAAGAAATAATTTCTCTTTTCAGTGAAGATTTTTAGATAATTCATTAAAAATAAGAAATGAAGAGAGAAAGATGTGAAAGGGGATATCTAAGGAATTCAAAAGGGTTGATTTGGCAGGAAGATTTAGGAAACTTTTCCAAAACATGTTCTGGGTACACACAAGCTAACTGAAGATCGATACAGAAGAGGTGCTTTCAAAATATGGGAAATTGACTTTCTTTGTATTCACTGTGCTTAGCACAGTAAAGCTTGCTGACTATCAATATTTAGGGGGAAAAAAATTTAAGGCCCCATACATTGAGTGAATATAAATTGTGACGACTCATTTTCAAGACTCTGGAATTTTCACTTGGTTGATAATTAGGGTAATTGATAATTACCCTTGATAATTACCCTTAAGCTCTATTATACCTAATGATCTTGAAAAAACATTCTTTAAGAAGGGACATCATAGAGATAACTATACTTCTATTGATTCCATATCTATGAGATCAATTCTGTGCCTTAAGCAACTATATTTAGAAACCACAATCAATCAGAAAGTCCCCCAAAACAGGAAATATGTTGCTCTTTCAATACAAGATCCCTATATCACTACTGTGTTACTGGCACGCTGATGGAGAATGTATGTTGCACAATAGAGAAACAACAGGAGGCGCTATGACTGTTGTAATCTGGTTTCCAAACCAAAAAGAAAACAAAGACAGGGTAGATAACCTAGTAGCCAAAACAGTTTAGCTTCAAAAGATACTGTTAGGAAATTTCTTTGAATTGTAATTCAAGTTTTGTAGGCAAATAAGGACCACTGTCTCTGCCTGCCTGCCTGCCTGCCTGCCTGCCTGCCTTCTTTCCTTCCTTTTTTCCTACCTTCCTTTTAAACAAATAGTGCCTCAGGAGGTAGTGAGTTCCCTCTCACTGGAGATCTTTAAGCTAAATAACCAGTTGCTGAATGTTTTGTAGGATGTTTCTTTTTCACCTATGGGTTTGACTAGATGATTCTGTACTTCTGTGAAGTTAATTTTCTTGGACAAGTCAAGTCTAGGAAGTTTTGGAAAGTAAACTAGGAACCAAAAAGTCCCGTTTGGCATTTTAATTCAAAATTGATTTTCTTTACCAACATCCTATTTTACAAACTTCCACCTCCAAAGGTATTACTAGCTTTCAATGGAATAACTTTGAAAAATACTCAAATAATTTTTAAAAATTGATGGCCAAAGAGAGCAACAAAATCATTCACAGTACTTGGAAAGAACAAGAAAAGTTTCTTTAATAATGTACCTGAAGTTAGCGTCCATATGCCTTTCAAGTGGAATTAAAAATCTTGCTGCTGACATGAAATCACACAAAAGAACATTGATTTAATAAATTTGTTTGTTTCAAAGATTAATGTCTCTTTCCAGATTTTAAAGAAGAGTTTAAAAGACAAAGAGTAGAAATAATCATTCGTATTATATATATATATATTATATATGAAGTACTTGTTTAGAAAAGTCAAAACAAGCTTCTTAAAATAAGATTAGTAAGATAAAAACCTATGAAAACTCAAGGTTGTTTTGTTTATTCAGAATCATTTTTTGCCAGAAACTCAATCAAGGAATAGTAGAACAAAAAAAGAAAAACCTCTTTATCTTTCATAACATCATAGATTTGGAGCCAAAAGGGACCTAAAAGATCACCTAGTCCAATTCCCTTATTTTACAGATGAGGGAACTGAAAGAGGCATAGAGAAGTTAGGTGACTTGCCTGAGATCACACAAGCAGGAAGTAGCACAGCCACTATTTGAACCCAGGTGTTCTGATTTCAGGGCAAGTGCTTTCCATTGTGAGGGAAGAGCTAGATTCCAAGTCAAAAAGCCTTGGGTTCTAATCCCTTTTCAGACACTTAATAGCAGTAAGACCTCAGGGCAAGTCACTTAAGTTGTATCTGGGGGGTTACTCAGACGTCCAAGGTTCCTTCTAGCTCTAAATCTCTAAATCAATGACACAAGTAGCCCATGGGAGCGTGCGTGTACACACACACACACACACACACACACACACACACACACACACACACAAAACCTCTTCTCTTATCATTCGTGGAGTTGATACCACTTTAGACCCAGACTCAAGCAAAAAGAAAAAAAAATGGTTTTCCGTATTGCGCAAGTCCTGTCAACTTTATGATGACCTATATATATATATATATATATATATATATATATATATTTATGGAAGATTTCTCACCTCTAATCTGTAGTAGCCATGGTAGACAGTAAGGCAGGAGACTGGAACCTTACCAATTATAGTTTAAATAAGTTATCGGTGAAAATGAAGTTATGGTGGAGGTGAGGGGCAGTTGGGGGAACAGTGTTTTTTCTAGTTCAGATATGGACTCTGAGAGGATCTTTCTCTTTCAAATGAGTCAGATGATTTAGAGAATTTCAGTCGCCCCTCCCCCCTCAACCCCCATAGTCCCCAACCTTACCCTGACCTTTCTCTATTAAGGAAAACTACATAGCATGCCTCCAGCCCCTTTCCAATGGGCAGAGGAAAAGGGGGGAGAGAGAACGCGAGGAAGCAAAAATAGTTGCTTCCTACTGCCTGCCCTAGCACACAGACATCTGCCCTCATTTTCTTTTTTCTTTTTATGATTGTTTCAGATGACAAGGGGAGTGGACAACCCAGCCAAGAAAAAGATGTCATAAAGATATAAAATTATTACAATGACTCACCTGCTGTAGCCGCAGGTACGGGTTACATTTCAGTGCATCCCGGTCTGCAGCTAGCCTGGGTATTCTGGGGTTGGCTTTAACGTCATTTTGGGGTGACTCAGATGACTGGATTTCCAGTGACAGAGCAAAAACTATTATTATTTTTGTAATGAGGCGGAAGCTGGGGCGAAAAAAAAAGTCCTGGGTTTGGAGCACATCAGCATCCTAGACCCTTTTGACTACAGAAAATCCCAGGTTTGAACTTTGGGAAGTTGAACAAGGAAAAGGGTTGAACAAGGAAAAGAGGCTTGAGAGAAGGCGATGTAGATTTGGGGGAGAGAGTGAGAATAGTGGGCGTAAAAAAAGACTCTAAGCTGGCATTACTAGGCTCTGTGATGGGAGCCGTTCCCAAGTAGCCATCTGGAAAACAGTAGGGTGCCCAAGTAAGGGGAACCTCGATTGCAGTTTAGTGAACACAGTCTTCTAATCTCCAGGCTTTGACGCCGGCTGTCCTTTGACTTTCAATTCTCACAGAGCCTTCCACGCCACTAGCGCCTCAGCCACAGCATTCATTTAGGGAGATCTGTTATCCTGAGGCCGGCCCCACTTTTTTTCTTTCCGAAGGAGAATATTTCCCTTTTTGTTTTCTTCCCACTTCCCTCTTTCCTCTCCCTCCAAGCTTAAACCAATTACGTTGCTTTGCAAATAAAGTGACGCCTTAGTTTGGGGGAGGGGGCGGTACGAGAAGGAAAGAAGGGAGTTAGGGTGACCGAGAGGGAGATGGGGTGGGAGGAATTGAGAGTGGCTGGTGCCCGTTTGTTTGCAGGTGCATCTTTGGCTTTGTAGGTGCAAGCGTCTTTGTGCAGCGGACAAATGGGGAGAGGAGAAGGAGGTGGGCACTTGGGCGACGTAAGATCCACATCAGCTCAACTCCACTCGCATCCCAGCCGGCACTTCCTCACTTTCTCAAGTGTCTCTCACCCACGACGCTCTATGCCCGCCTTTCCCTCTCCCCAACCCTCCCCCCACCAGCTCCAATAAAGCATACACCGGGAATTGGCTTCCTCCTAGGTGGGGTGCTGGTTTGGTTGGTGACTAGGGCTTTTTGTAGTGTTATTATTGTTGCTGGTTGTTTCTCCTCCTTCTCTCTTCCTTGCTGCCCGCCGCTTTGCAAAGGGCTGGATGATTACACCGGGCAGGTTGGCTCCATGATGTTAGGTACGGTGAAAATGGAAGGGCACGAAACTAGCGACTGGAACAGCTACTACGCGGAATCTCAGGAGGTGAGTGAAGCTGGGAGATCTGAGGTTGTTGCTCATGAAGGCGAGGAAAAGAGGATGGGGCACTGGGAATCCGGGGAGGACAAACTAATTCGTGGGACTGGGGATCTTTTAGATACTGCGACGACAGCTAACCATGCCTAGACCTGGATGAACGAAAACAAATCATAATCTAAGGACTGAAATTTGGGGTCAAATGGATCAGGAGTTAGAGAGATGTCACCAGGTTCAGAAAAAGGGTTTAGACCTTTTGAGGAGCAGGAACTCGGGGTTTTGTAGGTCCTGTCCTTTGGGGAAGCACTTGCCTCCACGAAACGGAAAACTGGAGTACAAGCCCTGCCACAGTGTAGGCAGGCAGGGACACGGGCAAGTTGAAAACGAACCCTTGGAGAAACCAGAGCTTCGTTGCAAGGCTGATGCTTCCATTTCCTGCCGCCCCCCCCCCTTTTTTTTCATTTCCAAATATCTCTCTGGCCAGAGTAGCTGAGTAACTAATGGACCCAAAGGAATCAGTCGTTCATTCAAAAACAAAACAAAAACTTAATCTTTTATAAAGATCTTTGAGGAAAAGGCTCCTAGGTAGAACCACTGGGTGGCGACGGTGAGAGATGAATAGGCCATTGCAGACAGAGAGAACCTGTTTCTCTTCATTGTAGGCCCCCCCCCCCCCGGCCCCTTTGCGTGACTTTGAGTGACTTTTTGACTTTTATTTTACAATACGCAAAAAAGAATATTGAGAAAAAGTGGCTAGGCCTACCACCTACTAAAACTAGTTTTCTCTTGAAATTACCCTGATTACTCAGAAGATTTATTACACTGGTACTTCCTGGACACATGCATTCAACCTGCATTTGCTGAGAATTGTGTGTCCCTGTGTAAAAAGTAATACGAATCTCTAAATGCCATAGACAGCTTAGTATAGCAACAGGAACTATTTTCATAGATAATATGGTTGCATTCATTTGACAAATATGTCTTTATCTGTATATACAATGTTCACATATGCATAGCGAATATTTAAACATGAGTAAACTCTAGCTCATGTAACCTTTAAATACTCTTTAATTCCTTTTTCTTTTCTAGAGAAGGAAGAAGATAAAACATAATTTAATGACATTTGCTTATAAGAATCAAATATCCTTTTAAGTAAAAGTTAGCAATTTCCTGCTTAATCTTCTGAAAAATTATGATTGTTATTCCAGATGAATTTTCAAAATATTACTGTGAAGTGCTTTAATTTTGGCATAATTTTTTAAAGAATGCAAACTTTTTCAGCTGTTTATTCTGTCTCAGTCATACTGAAATTCTTATTTCTGGTCAAAGAGCTCCTATACAGGTTTAGGCTGTGAATACAAATCAATAAAGTAATGTATGTCTTAAGTGGAGCTTTTAATGAATAGAATTAACATTTGAGAAATTTTAAGTGGCTGAAATTGTTCGTTTCCCAGCTTCTCTGATACATCATCAAGTTTGCAGCTAACTGATAAAGCTCTCTGCTTTGAGGTCATGCTTTACAAAGATCAAAGTGTCCATTTTAGTATGTCAATAAATATTACAATTGAGATGTGCTGTATTACCATACTCTGGAATATGTCGAGAGTATTAGAGAAAGAGGGGAAATTATTACAAATATCTGAACATTTTCAAAGGGGTTTTATATACTTATCATAAGTATATTCCAATATACATTGGAATCTCCTCTGTCTCCCCTCCAAATTTATTTTAAATGTTAATTTGCACAAACCTAACTTAAATTTGATGGTGATTTTACAAAGTTATGTGGAAATTAAAAAAAAACACAAAACTACCATTTGATTAAGATTTTTGAAGGCCCATTATGCTCTACATTAGGAAAATGAATGACTCTTTCCTTCATATTACTTAGGTAATTTCTGGTAAGAAATAGTACAGAAATACTGTGCAGAGAGACAGAGGAAACTGAAGGAGAGAGTGTTGGTTAAAAAGCCTGTTGCAACTCCAGCCTTAGGCCTTGCAAATTACATTTGTTAAGTAACAAAAGGAGTTTTCACTCTCTTTGGTCTTTTTTTTCTTGAATGAAGATGTTTCTGAAAGTTGGTTTCAGTATATATAATATGAAGAAATATGTTCTTTTTGTGGACAACAAATAAAGGATAAAAAGGTTTTTGGTTTTTAGAGGATTTTTTTTTGGTGGGGGGATATTTTCTAAAAGAAATCAGATTTAGGATAAAAGAATAGAGGAAGATACAAGGGTAGTCGGAAAGTGAGCTTTGCCTAATTTCTGGTATTAATAAGGTTCACACCCCTCTTTCTGGGCCATGTTATATGTTAGTATTTCCTCCATGCTTGTGGAAATTTGAATTTGTTTTTCCTTTTATTTTTTTCCTCCTTGCTCCTCTGGGGCCTCATTCTTTGCTGAGTGTAGGGCAGTCTATAGATTATTTATATGGTATTGAGTGGTCCTTTGGATTAGAGGGGAATGCAGGTGGCCTTAGGTCAACCCATTACCCACACCCATCACTCATCCCCCTCTACACTAGCTCACTCCTCTTTATCTTCTTTTACTCTCCCCACTGCAGGCCTACTCCTCGGTGCCCGTCAGCAATATGAATTCAGGTCTAGGCTCCATGAACACCATGAATACCTACATGACTATGAACACTATGACCACCAGCGGCAACATGACGCCAGCTTCTTTCAACATGTCCTATGCCAACCCAGGCCTAGGGGCCGGACTAAGCCCGGGTGCCGTGACTGGAATGCCGGGGGGTTCAGCCAGTGCCATGAACAGCATGACTGCTGCAGGGGTGACCGCCATGGGAGCAGCCCTGAGTCCTGGAAGCATGAATGCCATGGGAGCTCAACAGGCTGCCTCCATGAATGGACTGGGTCCCTACACTGGGTCTATGAACCCCTGCATGAGCCCTATGGCATATGCCCCTTCCAACCTGAGCCGCAGCAGAGGGGATGCCAAAACCTTCAAGCGGAGCTACCCGCATGCCAAGCCCCCCTACTCATATATTTCTCTCATCACCATGGCCATCCAACAAGCTCCCAGCAAGATGCTAACCCTGAGCGAAATCTACCAGTGGATTATGGACTTATTTCCCTACTACAGGCAGAATCAACAGCGCTGGCAGAATTCCATTCGTCATTCGCTCTCTTTCAATGACTGCTTTGTCAAGGTGGCTCGCTCTCCCGACAAGCCTGGCAAGGGCTCTTATTGGACCCTGCACCCGGACTCTGGCAACATGTTCGAAAACGGCTGCTACCTGCGCCGTCAGAAGCGCTTCAAGTGCGAGAAGCAAGCTGGGGCGGGAGGCGGCGGCGGCGGCGGCGGGGGCGGAGGCGTAGGTGTAGGCAAAGGAGGTCCAGAAAGCAGGAAGGAGCCCCCGGGAGGCTCCAGCACGAGCTCCAATTCCCCGTTACATCGCGGGGTGCACGGCAAATCCTCCCAGCTGGAGGGCGCCCAGGCGTCGGGTCCTGCGGCCAGCCCCCAGCCTCTGGACCACAACGGGGCAGGGGCGACAGGGGGCGCCCAGGAGCTAAAGACTGGGGCCTCTTCTTCGGCCCCGCCAATCACCTCTGGGCCAGTGGCGCTAGCCTCGGTGCCCCCCTCCCACCCAGCACACGTCTTGACACCCCACGAGTCCCAGTTGCACCTGAAAGGGGACCCCCACTACTCCTTCAACCATCCCTTCTCCATCAACAACCTTATGTCCTCCTCGGAGCAGCAGCACAAGCTGGACTTCAAGGCCTATGAGCAGGCTCTACAGTACTCACCCTATGGAGCAGGGCTGCCAGGGAGCCTGCCCCTGAGCAGTGCCTCCATGGCCGGGAGGAGCACAATTGAGCCTTCAGCTCTGGAGCCTTCTTACTATCAAGGTGTGTATTCCAGACCGGTCCTAAATACTTCTTAGCTCCTGTGACTGGTGCTTTTT